CTTGGCAACAAGGGCACACTGTTGGCTGATATTCAGCTTATTGTTCACTGTAACCTCCAGAGCTGTTGCCTAGCCAGTCAGTTCCCAGCCTGTACTGGTATATGGGATTGCTCTGTTCAAAGTACAGGACTCTGCACTTGTCTTATTGAACCTTATGAAATTTCTTTTGGTCCAATTCTCCAATTTGTCTAGGTCTCCGTGGACATGTCTATACATGCCCCCAACTCCACAGGTACTAAATAACTACACAGTAACCACTGGTGTTGCACAGTCCTGGTAGCACATGGGTTGTTTCTAACCCCACTGTGCAGTAGCAATGAGAGTTGGTGTCATGGTTCATGCCCGCTGATGCTATGTCACCATAATGACGAGCACAATGCTGTGCTGAAGTAGCATATCATGTAGACACATGTTCTGAATCCTAACCCTACCCTCTACTTTATCTACTACTCCCCCTAGTTTGGTGTCATCTGCCAACTTGTTGAGGGTGCACTCCATCCCATCTTCCAGGTCACTGCAATATACTGGAGATGCATCTCAGGTTTTTCTGGGACTGTTAAAATTCTGCCAACAAGTTTGGAGAACAGCTAGAACGAAGACATATTTTTATGTTTTGTAAACTATATTTCTGTATGTAAAATGTCTTGCTTTTTGAATGAACAATGTCACAAATAATGAGGGGTTAAAAAAATCCCAGGGAAAGAGGACCTTTCTATACAAATTCTTCACCTCTATTTTAAATTGCAGAAAATGAACATAATTACTATACTTTTGTTAAGTGAAGGACATGAAGGGCGAGGACTTTGGTACACTAAAGTATCTTTAGTTAGCAAAATTTGAGACAATGAATTGTCATTTATACTACAGTTCTCATAATTACCTGAGAAAGGAGACATTATGATAAGTTACCAACTGCAGTGTGCAAGTAGTTTGTTTTATTCACCATCATGACTTGGTTTCTTCTTAGAGAATTCTGCATTGTTCCAATTATTCCATTCTAGACTTTATATATATTTTACACACACACACACACACACACACACTATATTTTACATAAATTTCTCTTTTGATACAATGAGGACATTTTTGTGTTATACAAATTAGCCACTCATTTTCTGATTATGTCTATTTTTTAAAACAATTTCTAGAAATAATTTGGTTCTTATGCCAAGAACTCTTAATTTCTATACAGCTTGAGTAATGTTTTCCTCCTTATCTTTGTTTTACAGAACAGGCACATCATCTGTTAAATGTAAAGGGGCCTCAAAAAAGCAACTGCCATCTCAAGCAAGCCTAAAATTTTGCTTGCTATGAATACTAGATCATTATATGAGTTTTGTTCAGCTTGTGTAAATACCTTTTAAATAACTACAAACACTTACACATTTTGCCTACATAATTATAAATTCTAAGCATCAACATAACACCATTTAAAATATGTTACAATACACCTCAACCTTTAGATATTTTCAGCTCATAACAGAAGTTTATTTGGCAAAAACAGGTATATCTTTACATAGTTATAAATCACCAATCCATCAAAGAGGTAGCTAAGCACATGCTTAACCTTAAGCATAAGTAGCTCATTTGAAATCAGTGGAGCTACTAGCATGCTAAAGAAATATATCAGTGAGTGAGTCACTGGATTATTGTCTCTATGCATACATACAAAGACTAAGGGAAGAATGTTGTGGCATTTCCTTGACATATTGGCACTGCATCCTTTGAAAATGTATGTCTGAAAACTGATCACTGCTACTTTGCCTGTTATTCTTTTCTGGACCATCACACCAACAACACCACTTTAACAATATTTGTTCAAGTCCTTCAAAACATGTCAGTCACATGGAGTCATATCAGTCACTCCAAAGCAACAAAAAGTCAAACAGCTTCAAGAGAGAATGGGGAATTTCTTTCAGCGAAAAATAATTCTTTGTTCCATTCCGTTCATACCTTAAGTGACTGAGACATCACATGCCTCAGACTGATTCATTGATATTATTTTTTCCTTATATACTAGATCTTTCTTTCAAGGTACTATACTTTCACACATGATGGGAAAGGTCTCTTGACAACCTGATAGCATTTATATTATATACTACACAAGTGTATATAAAATTTGATAGAGGACACTATATTTAAAACTATGCTAAGTAGGCTTGATGAAACTTTAAAAAAATCAGAAAAAACATGCAGCCTGCTATCTTTCTCATATGTTACAAAATTAGATCAAACTTTTTTTCCTACCATCTTCTACCATACATAGCATCTTTTAGCATTCTGCGCTGTTCTCTGCAGATGACATACATTCTGTGTATGCCATGTATATGAAAAGTGACAATAAACTTAAATAACATAGGATGCAATCCTTGTATCCATAACATAGGATATGCAATCCATAATATGTAAAGAACAACAGTGGAAAGGGTGGATACAGGTTATATACCATATTTATCTGACTCTAAGACAACTCTAAATTAAGACAGCCCTCCAATAATTAGATTATATACATGGAAGATTATAGCAAATCTATACATTTTCCATGTATAGAATCTAATTTTTGGAGAGTTGTCTTAAATTCATCTTCCCACTGCTGCAGCATGGAAAGCAGTGGCAGTGGGGAAGGTGGTGAGTGGGCAGGTAGTAAGGGGGGCAGGTGGTGAGGAGATCAAGCAGCCTGATCCCTCTTTCTTGCCCCATGCCCCTCTCATCACTTGCCCTTCCTACTGGCTAATCCCCTGGCACCTGCCCCCTTGGTGCCTGCATCTCCCTCCCCCCACCTCTTCTGCACCCGTCCCCAACTGCCTGTGCCCTCCATTGCTTACCCACCAGCTCTGGCAGGGCTCTGGTGCTATGTCAGCCCAGTTGCTCTGGCCCCAACCTGGCCTAGTAGCAACAGTGGCCTCAGGAGCAGCTCTAGCCTTGGCTCAAGCTCCAGGGCATGGCCACAACTGCCACCAGCACAATAACTGGTACTAGGCTGGGCTTGGACAGGAGCAAGAACATGTCATGCCTCATTCTGGAGTAGTGGTGAACCCATGCCAGAGCAGGAGGGTAATTACCAAAGAAAAGGTGCAGGCAGAGGACCAGCATTATAGTTATTCTCATTTCCAGTCCTGTAAGTATAACGCTGCTCCCTATACGCTACCTCCCTTTCGAAAGCTGCTATACTGTGGTGTTGTGGGCTTGCTAAATAACATTGCTGGGCACGCTACAACAACTTTACTACTCTTTGAAAGGGAGGTAGTGTATAGGGAGCAGCACTGTTTGTCAGCAGGATGTTGATTGGTGTTGCAGGAATGTCTGAGTAACTTCCCAATATGCCAAGGTATCCCCATTTAAGATCCACTTTGGCACGTCTGCTCCTTATTTCACAATAACTTATTTTATCATGCTCATTTGTCTGGAGTAGTATCTCACCTAATATATTCTGTGCAGCTTACCTCTCTAGAAACCATCCATATTTCACCAAGCCTAATGACAGTATATGCTTAACTCTTCTTCTGACATACTGCTTTTTGCTTGCTGAAAATGTAGTGCATTTTTATAGCATTAAACATCTATTCCTTAGACATTTTTTACTTGTGTTAAAATGAGATTCCTATATTATATTAAGGAAGCTTTGATTTCTCCTTCCTCTAAAGGTGGGAAAAGCTGAGGCAATATCCTTATTGTAAGAGTTGAACATTTCTGAATACAAATGCCCATCAGAGAAGAAGGATCGCAGCAACCAGTACTGAGTGTACAGTTATACAGAAAAGACCATGTATTTGTTCTACAAGTATCCTCCCTTCCATGGCAGCTAATAAAGATTTCCAGACAGTCCAAAGAGAGGACTTTGGATACTGTAACATTGTCAAGAACTAATCTTGCAGTAATTGAGTCACACAAGAATCAGTTCGAAGACAGAGAATGGTGTACCTGGGACAAATGTAAAGACATATATGAATGACTGCCTGCTTTTATGCCAAATCACCTGAGCCAATACCATTCAAATATAAATTATTTTAATAATTAGTGTTATAAGCAATAAGAAAGGAATCATTTTACTACTAACATCTTCATCATTTGCCACATGTGGCTTGTTCTTTTTTTCTCATCCTCTTCCCAGGGGAAAAAAATGTGTGTGCAGTAAAGAGTTTTGCTTTATTGTTTCCTGATATTTTTCATAACTTAAATGCACACTGTGCATTATATATTTATAATAGGAAAAACACAATTTAGGAAATACACCTTGCAGTTGGAACAGGATGATGGAGGCTATGCCAATTCTTTTTTAGTTGCTTGAGTAGGTAATTGAAGTATTTCTGCCCTTTATTGATTAGTTATAGACTCATATATCTAGTTTGACAGATTCAAAAATGAATTCTTTTTTTTCCAAATCAACAAAATAAAATATGTTTTTCATTGTACTTAAAATGTACTAAGTCATTTCTAAATTGAACATTCCTAATCTATGAATACTTTAATACAAGAATATAACCATCATAATAAATAATAATAATAAAAGCAATAACAACAAAACAGCAACATTAAGCACAAGAAATTAAGTTCAAATATATTTTTGTCATTTTTACTTTGGATTGCACTGTCAACATCTTGTGCAGGTGTTATACAAACTACAGTGTCTCCACTTGCTCCTGACTCATAAAATCACTTTTTTATTCCAGTTTAATCCAAGAGTATTCCCATACAGACAAAACATCAGGGAGTGTAAAAATGAATTAGATTTACCAATCCCTATAATACAGGGTGGAGGCCTGATTTGTTTTCATCAAAATCAACTGGGATTTTTGTCATCAACCACAAGGAGAGAAGTATTAACCTAATACATGCAATAGGCTGAACATTACCCTTCATATCAGATAGGCTTATTGCAAAATAAAAGCAAAATGCAAACAATTAGAATAACTTATATGTACATTACCTGCATACTCAAGATGAAATCCAGCAGCTGACACACTTATGTCAGACTGAAAGTTTAAGTACAAATTGTTAGATGTGCTGTTGAGAAGTGGTGGTATTGTAGTTCCTGAAAAGAGAAAGGTTAATTTATTACTATAATGAAATGCAGATACAGAAGTTGAAGCATAGATATTTCAAATGTAAATATAGTCACATATAACTATATGATAATCTTCCAAAAAACAAATGTGCCAGATATAGTTCTTGTAAAGCATGGTAATCATTTTCATTGCAGGATACCACTGTATATGCTCTAGTATACCTGTCCCTTGTAGAGATTTGCTAATGTATTCAGTGCACCACAATATAATATCTGCAGCACATTTTCAGAATCTGGCAAGGAAGACAAGCACACTAATAAGATCTAACTTTTGGTAAATTTCTGCTCACACACTTTCATGAATGCAGGGCAGCACTTCAGAGTCTAATTGGTCCCGAGAGGTATAAACTTTTGTAGGCACCAACCAACTTTGTCAGATGCTAAGAATGGCCACTAAAAGTCCATTTTAAATTGCTGGTAGTGTCAGAATGCTAGTGTCCATCTCTACTATTGGCTAATAACAAAATATTTACCCTTTCTGGACAGGTTTTGCATCCTTTGTTATAAAAAAAATGGTATGGACACCATACAATGGAGGAGACATCTCTATACTGTGGCAACAGTGCTATAAACCATGCCTGGTTTTTAACTGTGCTTTTTCAACTCATGCTGCTATACAGATTACTGCCAACACAACTTATTTTTAAATACACCATTGGTAACCATGACCTGTAAAAGTGAACTGATATGATATCAATTTACTTCAAGTAACATAATTTCACTGCATCAATTTCAAGGTTCTCAAAGCCACATTGGGGTGTTATAGATCACTCCTACTGTGACAATGTTACCATTTCCTAGATTCCAGAAACACAGGTTTCTATCATTTAGCTAAAGAAAATCTATCTAACCTGCCAGGTAGTCCTATCCATGACGAAGATCTTTCAAGAAGTTATTTTTCTATAAACAAACTTTGTTAGACTTCTTATAACTTGCCATACTGTGGTACATAAACTGGCACAATGTATCAGGTTCCTGGTATATTACTGTTCTTATTACTACTGTTACTATATAAAACTGGAACTCCTTTTGCACCACAAACTGTACAAAAAAAATATCAACCCACGGGCTTAATTTAGCAACTCTTCTTGAGGTGACTAACTCATGTCAAGTAACCTCACTAAAAGTCTAGAGAATTCTTGCCTAAAAGATCAGGACGGGACCATAATATATCAGTTGAGCAAATGGGATCTATTGGTTTATAAAGCCATACTGAAAAGAATTAGTTAAATTTAAAAGAATATAGATAATAAATGCTATGTGTACTTACCAAGAAATATAAAAAAGTAATGTTCCCTGTGTTGTAATTGAATGCATTGTGATAGGTGCTAAGGGTGGCAAAGACCATTCTCAGTCTTCTGAGGAAGGAGTTTACATATTGGTTTTGGAATTCTGAGACTATTTGTTGGCTGTCCTTCACATTCAATTAGTCTACATCTCTAATTTAATGGCATAAATAGCCAAAGCATACGATACACATTTATTTTTTAAAATACCTCTATTATCTGTTCCTAAACAAAGCCAGTAGAGGCCTGGGCACTAAAAATGGGATAGCTTAGAAATATGTCCTCTTAGCCAGAGGCCTTTGTATTTAGACCTGTAGGTGGTAACAGATGACCAGTATATCTTTGTATTTCTGAAGCATCTGAATCATGCTAGAAAAATAGGTCATGACACCTATGAGAATACTACATGTAGTTTAGGGGCCCCTAAATAACACTCAAAATGTTGTTTTAGTCTTAAGCCTTTCAATTTTTCATGCTGATTCAAGACCCTGTTGGATGGAACCAAAACTATAACATGTGTTAACTGTCAATTCAGGAGAAACAGAGAAAGATCTGTGTGTTTACAGCAAAGAGAAACATCTGTAATGTACTTATTGTACCCTCGCCTCATTCACCTGAATAACTTCCAAGCCTTGGAGCATTGTTGTCGGCACCATCATAAAAGTCCAAAGAGTCCCAATTGTGTTCTGTGGCAAAACTTACAACCTGCACCTATGAAGAAAAATGTAAGAAAAAGAACATAAAGATCTTTCCCTTGAGTTCAGCCTACAGGGAGAAAAACCGTAAATTATAACCTGTGTCCATTTATGCTAGTAGCAATGCTGTAGTTACAGATGAAGTCGTCATTTTCAACTGTGGAAAGGTAGTGTAAGGCAATGATCCTCATTGTGAGTTGAAACTCTTAGGTCTTGATATGAACAAAATGTATGCATCCATTTTTTGTTTGCTTGCTTTTATGTTTTTATATTTTTGTCTCTGATTATAAATTCTGTGACCTTTAGGTATCTTGCCTCCAAAGGGAACCACAAAACTCTATAAGCCACCTGAGGCCACAATAAGCCTTTACTGATTATAGCCTGAGACTGCTGAAGGAAGGGAAATGCTATCAAATATTTAAATTTCTTTTTTTGAGTCTCACAAGTTTGGCAAGGGCTGGAGCCTGTGTCATGATGATATGAGGTATCCCTTAGAAGTGTTCAGCTCTGTTAGAAGTGGAGGTGTGGGGAAGGGAAGAAATTATATTCCTCAATTGTTGGATTTGGCAATACTAAAAGGGCCTGATTTGGAAAAATATTTAGGTATCTAAATGTGTGAATAGTCACCTACTGTGATATTCATCTTCCTCCCCTTTCCTTCCAATCACCGTTATCACCAAAAGTCCTCTGAAATAGGATGGATGTTTTGTCTGAGTAAATAGGGGAAATAAAACATTTCCTTCTTTTCATAATTGTATGCTTTCCCTATGGGCATTCAGTCCCCTTCTGTCGGATAAAGAGATTAGTAAAACCTATTGATTCCTGAGCCAACACCTAGCTGGTTTAGTCCTTCCTGCAGCACTGGAGGCCATTTTGTGTGTAAAAAATGTTACATAGCATAAAGTAGCAGATGAATTTGCAACAGATAGAATTGCTTTGAAATCACCTCAGTGAGCCAAGGTGTATCCCCAGAGATCATCCCGGATAGGAGACAGTTATGCTGACAAAGCTCTTTCCTTTACCAGTTCTCCACCTTGGAACGTAGTGTGGAAAAGATATGTCAGCAGTGACTTTGGCAAGAGCAGCATCAAGAACCAGGGGATGAAGGTGTTTGAAAACATTGCCTTGAAAATATCCTGCTTCCTCACATACCTGGATACAGGGCAAGATAGGTAATTTGTGGTTGGAGGGTGATAGAAGTCCCTTTCTCAGGGAACTTTGGGGGTGATCTGCTCTACGGTGCTCAAATTAAAGCAGTACACAACAGCAGGAATTCCTGAGTCCTGACAATAAGAGACGGACAAGCAACTTTAGTGATCCCACATCCTGCAGGAGTGTGGGGTTGGGATACCAGCAACAGAATGCTACTTTCAGTTCAAAAGCCCTTTGAGAGGCCTCCCCTTGTGTGGAGATGACATATGGCGATTTGCCCCTTCAAATAAATGTCTTGTTTATCAATGAAGAACGTCTAACCGAGAATGGCTACTTCATGTGGACAACTGCAGGGGAAGCCTAAGCAAATCTCCATAGAACATGAGCCAGACTGCTTCATATATGACCCCAGGAGCTGAACAAGTGACACCACTGACCTAAGCTATCAGGAATAATTTCTGCTTGATTTTTATTAGGTTGAAGTTACTTGCTTAGACCAATCCTGTGGATGCTCCTGATTCTGTTCAGCTCTAGAAGTTTAGAACACTCCCAAACTTATTAGGTTGTGATTCACAGTTGGTGGTCCACAAGATAAAGTTTTATTTGTGGTAACAGTGCAAAAGAGGTTACAAACCCATTTAATGTTGTAGCAGGTTTGGTGGCATGTTAGCAATAGGAATGGAAAGTACTAACTAACTGGGTACCAGTAGGTATCTGTTTGGGCAGTTTTAAGCTCAGTGTGGGCTCATTTACCTTATTTCTTGGGTGACTAGTTCAAATATCTCTATATGCCACTACTGTCACTTCTGTGACTGCAAAAGACATACCCAAAGAGCAGTCCTCAACAAATAACCTTCACTAGATTGTCGTCTTTGTAGAATGATTTAGATACAGAGGTTATCATTGACACCTTGTAGGATACTAGGAGACAGCTAGGAAGGCTAAATGTTCAAGAATATTTTGTAATAAATATTATCTTGGTTATATTTGATGTTATACCCTGAGTTATACTCTAATGTTGTTGCCTTCAGTGACCTCTACAGTCCTACTACAGTCTTGTTGAAATACACATTCAGCAGCTATTCAGTGGGCACATCTACAGAAAATGTTGCACTGCCATAGCAACATGTTATGGTGATGTAGTGTCCACGGGCAGAAACAATGATGCCACAGCTAGGTCACCATAGCTGTGTGCTCCCTCAGTATAGCACATTGCAATGGTGACACAGTGGCTAAAAATAACCATGCTCCGTGTGGACAGCATGGTATGAGCTGTTACTGTGTCATCATTTAGTATTTCTAAAAGGAAGTACTAAATGATGGCACAGTAACAATAGCATTGCAGGGGTACATGTAGACATACTCAGTGAGTATAACTTATCATAGCCTTTATTCATACTATTAGACAGGTGGCTGCCAACAGGAATACTACAGAGTTTAATCACAAATCCCAAGCGAATTTCTGTTCTACTCTTTTTATACTTTAGGAGCACTTACATCTAGTCTGCATCAGTGCCCACACACGATCAATCACATCTGGTGCCACACAGCTTACAATTGACTAATTAACTTATTTAATCACAACTTTCCTACACACCTTCCCAGATATATATCAAGTTTTGGTTATACTGTGCTACCTGGTTTTCTCACTACTATGGCAATTTGTACTAATTATGTCAGGAAATTCTTAATCATATTCCAAACATTTTTATGCACATTGGTGCTATCCATAGAACTGCAGGCTTGTAGAATTTAACTCTTACAGCTCTTGGCCTGCCTTATGGCCTACACCTAGTTAAATAGGTAATTTGGCACATGGGAGTCAGCTACATGTTAATTTCTTCAAACCAAAAGGCAGAAGGTTTCTGGAGTGTAGTCATTACCATATCTTTGCTATAGGGCTTACCTCAGGGGCGTGCACTTATTTTGGGCAGAGGGCTGCTTATCCAGTTTTGGCAAGGTCCGAATGGGAAGCCCCACCCCTTGTCAAGTGCCCTGCCCCGTGGTCACCATCTTGGGACCAATGTCTCAGGGCCAGTGCCAGTGCCAGGGAGGCCCAGAGTGCAGCACAGGCTGGCAGGGGTCTGTGGAGCCAGGTTGGGCTGCACCAGCAGGGAGTGGGGGGCCACCAGTGCTGGCCCCAGGACACTGGTGTAGGTCCCGTGCACCCGCTCACTCCCAGTGCACCCCTAGCCCTGTGGTACAGGTTGGGGGCAGCGCACAGGCCCAAACCCCTGCTCCATGGCAGGGAATGAGCTGGTGCAGAGTGCATTGAAAAGTGTCCCCTCCTCTGCCCTGTGGCCAGTGCTCCCTGCTGCAGCTGCTTGTAGCCCGAGTGGGGCTGCCCCAAGCAGGCACAGGCAGGGGCCAGGGTGGAGAGGCAGCAAATGTTTGCAGCTGGCTCAGGTTCTGGGTAGCTGCTGACAGCTACAGAGCCTGAGCTGGGTGGCAGGGGCTTTAGGTGGGGGGCAAG